TTCCCCGTGACCTCATTATGCCCCTGGGAACGTTTAAAACTCCTTTCAGAGGATATTATGGTTGTCAGAAGACTACTGTCCTTCCAGATTTAGCTTGAGATAAACCTCCTCTAAACCCCGAGTACCTGGTTTCATTTTACACACAGATCACTGTTTTCTGTTTCTCAGCCATTACCTAGTGTTCTGAAATTTTTTCTCTTAGTGTTTCTTTCCTGTTCCCTTTCCTTTCCAGTAGAGTCCTGAGCATTAGAGGTGAACTTCTGTTTTGTGAGTGTCCCTCCCCATCACCTGGTACAGCACACGCAGCTGATGCTTTGATGTGGGGGTAAATTAACACAAACTTCTTCCTTCTCCCGGCCTCAGGCATCATAGGCGAGTGTTGGTGGAGTGGCTGAGAGATCCCTCTCAAGAGCTTGAGTTCATTGCTGATATCCTTAATCAGGATGCAAAGAATTACCACGCCTGGCAGCACCGACAATGGGTCATCCAGGTACCATTTTTCTTATTACGGTACTTTTCAGATTTTTATTTTTTAACAATTAAATAACTTAAATTACTATTAAATTGTAAATAGACTTAAACTGAAACACATTACATTTGTTACACACCATATATGATGCTGATTATTATTACACACCCTATATGACCATTACACACCGTATATGATTAAGAATTATAAGGATATGTGCTGAAAACCTGACATCCTTCATGTCAGTTAGCCCTTATCACCTCTTTGGATATGTTGGTAACTTCACACTAAAGAAGAATAAAAGTGACTTAAAAAGTAGTGGTAAATTTTTGATGCAAGTGTGTTATTTTATAAGGGCATGCTACATATGAAGGTTTTGCATGCATAAACTTTGGAATATGATTTTACAGGAACTGTTGTGTATTTTATTTCTGCCCACTTGTTAAAATTTTATGTTAAAATCCTGAATAGAAGAGAATGGTTACAACTCCCACTCTGGGCACGTTATTCATTCTAGCAAACAGTTGTCGTGTTGTGTTGTGCCCTGTGGATTTTTTCCAGTGATGGCTACTTTCTGCACTGTTCATTATATATACCAAGAGTATTTCATCAGCAAGTTTTTGCTTAAAAATGTAAGCGTTTCCCAATTTGATTAAATGAATCCATTTTCTAAAAGAGGCATTTAGTATTTTTAATAAAAGTCTAGTTTTTGCTAGTATCAAATAAGCAATATATCTCCATTAGCTTTCTCAGAGTTACGATCCCCAACTTTTGTAGTATTTCTGTGTTCTGACCATTCTACTCCTTTTTCAAATTGTCTTTGTTGGTTTTCTTCTCTCCATAATTTTTTTAAATTTGCTTTTTAATGTAAAAATGTGTATCTAAATCCAATTGCATATTTTTCTACATTTTAATATAATTTTATTATATATGTGAATTTTTGAATACTTCCCTTTTATTTCATGTATGTAATAATATCAAATCACATCAAATTAATACACAATACTACAGTTAATCATTATGTTATTACTGAGTTTGGGCTTTTCCCTACATTTTCACCGTAAGCAATGCATGAGCGTTTAGTTAGAGATACCTTGTGTTTTGGTTTAATTCTTCAGACTAGTTCTTGGGTCAGATAGTAAAACGTTCTGCTTGGGACATAAGCTGTTTTCCACAGGATGAAGCTGAATTGTGGCCGCTCTGGGGTGACTCTCGTTTCCTGCTGTTTTCCTTCCTCAGGATCATTGTCTTGTCTTCAATGACGTTTCTTCCCTCCCCCTCCCCGTTCCCTTGCCCTGCAGCTCTCCGTCTCCTCCAGTATGAGTCCCACGTCTTTAGTTCTGCCTGCTTAACTTCGCTGAAGTTTTATTTATTTTTTATTGTTTAGAAATAATAGGACATCTCTAACTGGATATTTTCTTCTTTAATTTTCTTTTAGGAATTTAAACTTTGGGATAATGAGCTACAGTATGTAGACCAACTTCTCAAAGAGGATGTGAGAAATAACTCTGTCTGGAACCAAAGATACTTTGTAATTTCTAACACCACTGGCTACAACGATCCTGCTGTATTGGAGAGAGAAGTCCAGTTAGTAATCTCCTTCACTTGTTCGCTCGTTAGAAGAGTGTTTGTGTGCCTACCGTGTCTCCGGCATCGGGGGTACAGAAAGGATCAAGCCCGCCCCCATCCTGCTCACATGGACCTAGTAGGACAGAATTCTTGGCGGAAACCCGCAGTGATAAATTTACACGTAATGTAGTCTACGGAATGCCTTTACTTTGTACTGTCTTAAGTTTCTTGAAATATTGTTGCTACTGTAGATTGAGAAGAAATCACATTTCATAGTGATTTAGGAAGCTTTATTTCAAAATTGTCTCATTGAGGGGAAGGTATAGCTCAGTGGTAGAGCTCATGCTTAGCATACAGAAGGTCCTGGGCTCGATCCCCAGTACCACCATTTAAATTAAATAAATAAGTAAATAAATAAATAAACAAACCTAATTACCTCCCCTCCACCTGCCCCCCCCCAAAATGATCTCCTTAAGGTTTAGATAATAGCCCCCAGGTGCCACGCTGCTCTGGTGCAGGGACTTGGGCCCCTTGGGTCCCTGTCGTCCTGTGCATTGTAAGGTGTTTGGCCACATTCTCGGCCTCTGTGCCCTGCAGAGCAGGGGTAAACCCCACCCCATCCCGGTTGTGACAGACAGAAACATCCCCAGGCATTGCCAGATCATCTCAAAAATCGCCCCGAGTTGAAAACTGCTCTAGCACACAGAGTACTGCTGTGAGACCTAGAAATCTCTGAACTGGCACGAATTTCTATATTCTGTCCACAAACCTCTTTTGTCTACCTTATCTCGGTGTCTGTTTGAAATTTGACTTACGTTTATTGTTTTTATAGCCTGATAAGATCACAGTCATACTTTAATTATAAAAGTTGTTTTAACCGCTCCTAGGAAGAGCTGATGCCATGGCACCTCATCTCCTTTGCCCTTCCTTCTGCCTGGGTGAGGGCAGCTGGCTCTAATTTTATCTGTTCTACAAGGGGTTCTGGTGATTTAAATTAACAACAGCAACAAAAAAAAGTCTGCGATCCAGTGTCCTGCATTAACTCTCTTCTCCAGGCTTCTTTCCTTATAATTTTCATAATGCTGAATGAGTTTAGTATTACTCTCTTTGAAAAAAAAAAATGCTGTTAGAACAACATTGCAACAAAACTAAGATTACCAGACTTTGGTCAGTGAGTTACTCGTTTGAGCAAGAATATTGTGAAGCAGGGTTCTGTAACTCCCTTGGAATTTTTTTGTAATTGGATCTAAATTATATTTCAAAATCTGTTTAAGGGGAAGAGAATGGGAAGGGAGTGTCCATTTGGAATGAGAGTCACATCGTGGTTTACTGGTGATCTTGTTTCAGAACTAAGAAGTACGCACTTGGGTTGGTTTCTTATTTTCACTCTTTGTCTCTGTAATCCGCATGCCGTCTATTTTTTATTATAGCTTTCAAGAGTATTAGTTCTCCTTTTTCAGTGACTAACGACTTGTTGGTCATAAGTAGATCTTAGCCCTTTCCCCCAAGATGGCTTTAGCGACAAAAGGAAAGTCTGCTCATTGTAGCCGACATTCCCTTCAGAGGGAAAGCCCACGTCAGAGGCAATTCCCACAGAGCTGCTTCTCCACTTGGGAATTGAACCTTCGCATTGAAGGTCCTTCCTCGAGTTGGACGCAAACGTACAGGACTGAAGACAGTGCACATAAGATTTGACCGCGGCAGATGCGAGGGAGTCTCCGGTTTAGATATAACCTGGATGTTCCCGAGTCCCCAGCACGGACGAGGGAACGCACACGTCCAGGCTGTGCCACCATCGTATGAAAACGGTGTCTCATTGTTACACCGCTCTCTAAAAATCATACGCGTTTGTTTGTGGTCTTCTTACAGATACACCCTGGAAATGATAAAACTAGTACCCCATAACGAAAGTGCATGGAACTATTTGAAAGGGTAAGAGGTGGTTTTTACTTTTTTGTTTTTTTAAACCTGCTGATATGACGCATCATGGAATATGTCCCATAATCAGATTCCAAAAGGATGCTAAGAATTTTCCAGTTTTCTGGACCCGAGAGCAGAAGCGTTAACAATGTCATGATGACACCCAGGAACAGGGCCCTCTACCCTCTTCTTCCCGAGCACATGCCAGCACAGTGTTTAGATTAGTCCATGAGGAAACAGTAATACGGTTTTACTCTCAGGGCAGAACACACACACCAGTTTCTGCTCGGGAACAGAGGGAGGCAAGACAGAGGATTTACAAGCAGGTGGCGCAGACGCATAGCCATCTGTCTGCCTTCATTCCTAGAGCCGTCCTCTTGCAAGGCTGGCCCCGTATGCCGGCTGGGCTTCACTTGCTTGGCCACTGACATCTCCAGGCTCCTTGTTGAACTTAAAGGTCCCCCAGGAACCTAGGCCCAGAGCACAAAGTAAGGAGGCCCGTCCCATCTCCAGTGGGACAGATGTGTCAGAGGCCCGGGCCTCTAGTAACTGGAGAGCTGAGGGGTAAGGAGCCGCCTCAAGAGACACGGAGACGTTGCTCCTGTTTTGTTCCTTCACTTTTTTATTTTAAGATGATGATTTTCCTTTCCTTTAATTTTGTGTGTTGCAGTTTGCATTGTAAGTGATAACCTTTAAACTTCAGTACCCTTTTTAGTTAATTTTACTCAGCTCTTAATTTATCCACGAGAAAGCTCACATTTAATTTAAAATTAAGTTTCAGCCTCGTTCAAAATGTTTCTTTTCCTTGCTTGTGTTACGGACATCATTTTCTTTTGATCTTTCTACTGTTTTTGCTGTTCCTTCTCAAAATTGAGAATACTTTATTTGTTTTATTTTATTTTTTAGGATTTTGCAGGATCGTGGTCTTTCCAAATATCCCAATCTGTTAAGTCAGTTACTTGATTTACAACCGAGTCACAGTTCCCCCTACCTAATTGCCTTTCTCGTGGATATCTATGAAGACATGCTAGAAAACCAATGTGACAATAAGGAGGACATTCTCAGTAAAGCACTAGAGGTGAGCTGGTGCGACCAGGTAAAAGCTGGCTTTTCCTTTTGGTATCTCGGTGCTGGGTCTGCCCAGTGCCACCAACACGCCTGCCCCTTTTCCGCACTCAGAATTCAGCGCAGGGCTGCTCTGCTCTGTAAGGCAGCACATCACTGGTGCACGTAGCATGTGGCTCTAGTGGCCCATCTCATGTGAACACGACCTCACTTGAACTGTATCAGCCCAGACGCGTGAGCCCTTGTGTTTGAATCGCACGTTTTCATTGGTGAATTTTTGTTTCTCGTTTTCAGTTATGTGAGATCCTAGCTAAAGAAAAGGACACTATAAGAAAGGAATATTGGAGATATATTGGAAGATCCCTTCAAAGCAAGCACAGCACAGAAAGAGACCCACCTCCAAATGCACAGCAATAACACCGTCCAGAAGAGCTGGAGGGGATGCGTTTATTTTTTTAAGAGACTTTAACGCAGGAGTTAGAAAACTAGAGAGATCATCCCTGTGGCCTGTGGTGTAAAACGGACACCGCACAGGTACTGCTTTTTAACACGAACTAAGCGTGATGCTCCTTGGGTGCTGCTGCTAGTCAGACTAGCTCTAGGTCATTTGATTCTTTTTAAAAGCAAAGTAACTCGGGGCTTGGAGGGAGAGGAAACGGAGTCCCACGAACGAACTTTTGTCGTCTTATCAACATTTGCTCTAGTCCCTTAGCATCGACTCCTCCCTAGATGGTATGCGTGTCAGGATTTGCAGCATTATTGATCGCAGGTAACTCGTATTAAAGGACGTGAGGTGACTTAAATTTCGGTTCAGAAAGTGGGGAATGCAGTTGTTACGTTCGAGCTGCTTTTGCCACACTCCAGTATCTTGCTATCACTGTAACCAACTAACGCCAAAAGGATGATTTTGTAATAAAATTATAGATGAATCCTAAAGCAGCCATAGTAGTTTGATTTTTTTAAAAAGCATATGACTATATACAGGGGACATTGTCTCGGCTTAGAAAAACAATCGAGGAAGAAGATACTGCTATAAAACCGAAGAAACCAGAAATATGATTAGGTTAAAAGAAATGTAGTTAAAATGTGAGTTGGTCAGTTCTTGACTACAGGCAACAAAATCCACTCAAGGTAGTTTAAACCCATAGGGTTTATTGAGCTATACAGATAGCTCACAGAATAATTCCCTGATCGTCCAGAAATACACCCCAGAACCCCACAACTGGACCCTCGGGTTGCTGTCGCCTGTGCGGGGATCCGGCACTGGTGAGTGAGGCTGCCAGCGCGGGGACTGCCCACCTCCGCCACGCTCCACGCAGGCGCATCTGCCTCCCTTCCTATGTGATGCGGCTCCAAATGAAAGGCCCACAATCAGTGCATCTGATTGGAAAGACTCTAAGCGACATCTAGGAGGGGCCTGAGAAATGTGGTTTACAGCTCCCCAGCCTCCACGACGCAGGTGGGCGGGCCAGCGAGGAGTTGAAGGTTAACAAGCCAGGTCTCTGTCCCCGCCCATAATTAAATCTCACTGTATCAATAAGGATTTTTGTTCAATGTTCAAAACAGCAAAGCATAACGATAAAATTGTATAGAGTAGAACAGTCATCTCAAGAACTTAGAAAATGACAATACTTTCATCCCTGGAGAAAAGATACTTTGTGGGTATTATCTGTAACATTTTACTTGTCAGTTTTTTTTGTGGGGCTGGGGGGATTAAATTTACTAATTTGTTTATTTATTTTAATGGAGGTGCTGGGGATTGAACCCAGGACCTGGTGCACGCTGAAAACACACTGTACCATTGGGCTATACCCTCCCCCCTCAGTTTTTGGTTTTACACTCCCCAAATCTCTGATTTTGTATCTGAAATTTTCATAAAGTATCATCCCTCTGTAGACAATTTCAAAGGTGTCATAAGGGACAAAAATTATGTAGGAAAGTTGTCCTAAGAGGTAGCATTTAAGGAGAAAAAATAGAAAGAGAAGAGAAGGAAAAAAACACAGAGCATTTGCTCTCAGAAACTCTCATCAGTGTCCCAGAATTGATTGGATTCAAGGCTTCTGACTGAACAAGGCTCACAGAGACTGCTGAATTGAAGGCATAGTGGCAGTTAACTAACTTACATTGAGAGAGCAATTGCACCAGCCTCGCCACTTGGCATTTTCTGCCTCAGGTTTAACTAGGTGGCAGTTCGTTTGTCAAAAAGTCTCTTTTAGTGGATACGGAGTCAGATGAGGAGGCTCCGTGATCTAAGTGAACAAGACTTCAGGCTCTGATAATTCTAATGCGGGTCATTCCCTAATGGCAACTGGATACAGACCTGGGGGTCCACTGTTCTCATCGGATTATTAATAAGTAAAATGGGGTCTTTGGGTAGGGGGGGCTGCTAGTTCAAAGCATTTGCTTAATAATACCGTCACTGTGTTGCTGTGTGCGCTGTTGGTACCTAAACAGTGGTGAACCTGCCGGTGCCTCAGCACAGGTCAGGGCAGTGGTCTGAGCAGTCACTGTGTTCACTGCTGTGCATTCGCTGAGCACTGTACCCGACGCATTGGTAATTACATCTTTTATTCAATGCTCACTGTCTTTTAATATTTTGATGACTGAATGGAAGTATGCATAAAGCATATCTCTTTGGTTGTCTTGAAGAAAACCATTTGTGCAGTTGTAGAAGCTGTGGGCCAAACAGGCCACTCATCGTGGAATGCCATTTGTACTTGAACAACTGAGTATTGTTGCCAATGATAAAATTTGAGCCATCTAGGGAAAGTTTTAATCCACCACATTGAGCTTGACAGCTTCCCAACACCTACAGACCTTTCTAATGGAATCCAAGTGATACTGATGAATGCCATCTTTGGATAGTATATAATTAAATCTGTCAACCATGGGTGGGTCTGTGTAACTCAGTGGACCATTATTTTCCAGATGACCCATCTAGGATGGTACCATGCATAGATAATCAATCCATTCAGAGTACAAGATGTAGCAGGGTCCAAAATGTGCATTCATAGGGTTGCAGATTCCACATTGGAACTAACCTTTGAGAAACTTCTAGTTCTTGAATTTTGGTATAGCATCAAAGAATATCCAGCACTTCTGAAAAGACTACTCAAATTCTCCCTTTCCGACTACATATCTCTGTGTGTGAGTCTGGTTTTTCTTCCTTATACTTCAACCAAAAACACCATATTGCAAGAGCCTGCATATGGCAGTAGTTAGGAGAATCTAGGTACCTTCTGTTAAGTCAGACTCAAGAGATCTGCATAAATGTGAAACAATGCCGTTTTCCTCTTTTTTGTTTTTTGGAAAGTGTGTTTCATAAAATGTTTTTTGTTAACATGTAATGGGTTTATTGCTTTATTAATAATGAATTAATAAAAAAATTCTAATTTCAGGTATGGTAAAATATCACTAGTTACCACCCACAAAAAGAAAATCTGGAAGTAGAAGAGTAGGAGACCACATCTCTGCCCTCAGGGACCCCAGTTTTGAGACAGACCAATAGAATGCTCCTCACCTAGGGACCCTGAAAAAAATTTTTTAGGTATTTGTTTTGGGGGGCTTTTTTTTTCATTTTATTTACTTATTTTTATTGAAGTATAGTTGATTTATAATGAATTTCTGGTGTACAGCATAGTGATTCATTTATATCTATCAATATGCCTTTTCATATTCTTTTTCATTGTAGGCTATTACAACTGACTAGTTCCCTGTGCTCTACAGTAGGACCTTGTTGCTTATCTATTCTGTATATAGTAGTTAGCCTCTGCAAATCCCGAACTCCCAATTTATACCTCGTCACTCCCTTTCCCCCTGGTATGCATAAGTTTGCTTTCTATGTCTGTGAGTTTGTTTCTGTTTTGTAGATCAGTTCATGTGTGTCTTTTTTCTTTTTTTAGATTCCACATATAAGTGATACCATATGGTATTTTTCTTTCTCTTTCTGGCTTACTTCATTTAGAATGACGATCTCCATGTCCACCCATGTTGCTGCAAATGGCATTCTTTTATTCTTTTTTATGGCTGAGTAGTATTCCATTGTATAAATATACCACAACTGCCTTATCCAGTCATCTGTCGATAGATATTTATTGTTCCATGTCTTGGCTATTGGAAATAGTGCTGCTATGAACATTGGGGTGCGTGTATCTTTTTGAATTAGAAACTTCTTCTGGATATATGACCAGGAGTGGGATTGCTGGATCACAGGGTAAATCTATTTTCAGTTTTTTAAGGCATCTCCATACTGTTTCCCATAATGGTTTCACCAAACTACGTTCCCACCGTTTTCTCCACACCCTCTCCAGCATTTATCGTTTATGGACTTTTAAATGATGGCCATTCTGACTGGTGTGAAGTAATACCTCATTGTATAAAATGTTTATTAGCTTTCTGAAGAAATACTACTTGAGAACACAGAAACAGGAGGCATTATCTGCCTGATAAGAGTCAGGAAGGGTTCACAAAGGAAGACACATTTGGTTAGTTATATCCTTCAGTGAGGCCTTAAACTCAATTTTGTAATTGGTAAATATTAACTTATAAATTAGTAAGAGAGTCCAGAACATTTCCCTTTGGAAGTTATGTTATAAAAACAATGTTTTCCAAACTGTGTTGTAACCCATCAATGGGCAAGTCAATGGATAGCAAGAAGCTTTTTAAAAAATTACATCTAACAGAACTTAATTTCATTGAATTCTCTCATATTTTCTTTCTTTCCTTCTACTTGGTTTTATTCACTCTGGTTTTTCCCCCCAACATTATTGAGATATATTTGACAAGTAATATTGTGTAAATTTAAGGCATACAACATGATGACTTGATGTACTTTCATACTACCATGAAATGACTACCACATTAAGATTAGTTAACCGATCCATTACCTCACACTTTGTGTGATGGGAACATTTAAGCTCTCTTAGCAAATTTCAGGTATATAGTATGTGCTCTAGTTTTTTAAGGTGGAAGCTTAGATGACTGATTCAAGACCCTTATCCACCAAAATAAGCATTTAATGCCATACATTTCCCTTTAAAAACTGCAATAGTTGCATCTCAGAAGTTTTGGTATTTTGTATTTCCATGAACCATAGTTATAGTTACTTCATTTTGATTTTTAAATGATTCAAAATGTATCACCAATACAAAAGTTAAAATAGAAAGTATCTGTAAATAAATAGAAAAAATAAAACAAAAAAACCTAATAAATATCCTAGAACTGAAAAGTATAATAACTGAAATAAAAGGCTCATGGGATAGGTCCCATAGCAGAATGGAGATAACAGAAAAATATCAGTGAGTTTGAAGACAGATTAATAGAGATGATCTAATCTGACCAACAGAGAGAAAAAACAGAAGGAAAATAAGAAAACTAAAGGCAGGACAAGAACAAGAGGTCTAACAATCTTGTTATCAGAGCCCCACAGGAGAAGAGAAAGTGCTGTAAAAAACAGTCGAAGAAATAATGGCCGAAAACATCCCAACCTTGGTGAAAAACACAAGCCTGCAGATTGAGGAAGCTGAGCAAATAGGATAAATCCGAAGATATCCACACCCAGACACATCAAAATCAAATTACTGAAAGCTAAAGAAAAACGAAAACTTCTGCTAGCAGCCAGAGGGAAGTGACATGTAACATAGTTGAACAAACACCTAATGACAGGAAGTGGCACCGTGTTTTTCAAGTGCTGAAAGAAAAGAATGTAAACCCAGAATTCTATGTCCAGCGAAAATATCCTCCAGGGATGAAAGTGAAATACAGACATTCTCAGCTGAAGGAAAACAAAAGATAATTTGCAACCAGCAGACCTAATCTAAAAGAACTGATGAAAGAAATCTCTTCGGACAAAAGGGAAATTATACTGGAAGGAAATAATGCTACTGTTCTTCCACCTGAAACTCACCTGAAACCCTCATACTGTCAGTTCCAATAAAACATGAGGCATGTGTTCCTCTAACATCATGCTATGAAAAATCACAAATAAAAACTGGAGGGGGAGGGGCCTTATGGTAAAGATGGGGTTAGAGACACAACACTCAAAAACTTAGTTTTTTTTTAAAAAGGACCTGAAGCTAATGCTTCTGGGTGCCAGCATTGGAAGGGTTGCAGTTTGTGAATTATCGTTAAGTGATGGATGGTTATCTGAAATCAGTTGGGAAGTTGTCACACCAGATGTGGATGGGTGTCTCATAACACACCAGCTGATGACACTGGGAGATGTGGAGGTGTGTGCATGTGTGTTTTGTTCATTCTTACGCAGTCCAACTCAGCTGGGTGCATTTTTCTGCATTCACCTAGTGTTTTTCCAGGATGAAGTCACATGTAAACAAATGTGTTATGCTCAAATGATTTCCTAATACACCAATCAGGTTGAAACAAATTTGTTTCTTAAAAATACGTTATCACAGGCAGAAACCTTGGGGTCTTCACGACTGCAGCCAATCCTACTGCAGGGCTGGGCTGGAGTCCGATCCTCAGCTGGGGCCAGCCAGGCCTGTTAGGTGCCAGCAGCTGCCGGGGTTGTGCAGGAATGCTGAGGGCCACAGGCAGGAGGAACTGGCAGTGCCCAGCTGCCCAGCCACCTGTCTCTAGTGGCAGAAGCACTTTGTCTTCCAGACCAGAGAACCTTGGCCTGACTTTGCTACAGTCTATCAGACACTGAAGAGAGGAGTCGATTTTGCTAACAATGCACCTTCTCTTGCTGTACAGGCCTTTTTGCAAATACGTAATCTGCCTATAAAATTAGTTTGCAGGACAAATACAGAATATATGTCTCCATCAGATAAAGTACCTTTTGTTCATGTGTAACACGGAAGAATAAATCCGACTCTATATTGGATCTGTTTCTTTTACTTTATCCTTTGTATTCCATTGCTTTTGCTACAAGTTAAGAATGTTGCCTATAACCTGAAATACACAGGATAGCCCATTCTCAAGGCTCTGATCTTTAAAGGTATATGGAGATTACAAGTTACAGAACATAGAATAACATTTGCCTTGTTGGAGGTTCACAGGAATGTCGTGACCTGATCCCTGACCTCTGTGGACAGTTACAAGAACAAAGGATACCAACACCAAGAAGTTTGTACCAACCAACCACACCCCCTCCCCTTTTAGTAAAGAAGCATGAATTCTAACTCAGGTAAGATGGTTCTTTGGGACAGTAGTCCACCATCTTCTTGGTCTGCTGGCTTTCTGAATAAAGCAGCTATTCCTTGCCCCAACACCTCGTCTCCTGAATTATTGGCTTGTCCAGCAGTGAGCAGCAGGAGCCTGGACTTCGTTACACATGTAGGAAATCAAGTAGTATCGCGGAACTTGGTTCAATACTCCAATTTGTTTAAGCCAAGGGCCATTCTCATGGGGATGGGCTAGATAAAGTCGAAAACGCAGAAAGGAGGGCTTCAGTAGTGTGATGAAGCCATAGCAGGGGAGACCACTCATGCTAGGTATGCAGCGCCTTCCCCTTGGCCTCTGCATCGTATCTCTGCCCATCAGAAAGAGTGGGAGGTCAAAGTAAGATGAACGCTATCAGAGGGGGTAACAAGACTCCGGACTAAGTCTTAGAAGATGTCGACCAGCCCTATCAAGTTCTCTCAAAAGACTAGGACCACAACCCTACTTGTTCAATAAGCAGCCTACTGAATTACATGCACTGGTATCTGTCCATCTGTACACCATTCTTACCACACAACTGATCAGTGATGAACTTCCTGGGAAGGTGATAAACTACAACAACCTCCTTGCTTTCTGCAGAAGAAATGAGCAGCACTACTTTGAAGACTGTGGTAAATGCAGCTCATCTGTTAGTCTGTCTCGGAGAATGTGCCGGGTGGGCCCTTCCTGCGTCCTTCCCGGTCCCAGGCGGCCCCGCTCCCTCCTTCGGGACCCGCCGCCCCCGCTCTGGACCAGCCCCGCGTTTCTCTCCCACAGCGGTTCTCGGCTGGCCCGCAGCGGCAGCGGCACCACCGGAGGGGCGTCTAACACTGATCGCGAACCCCCAGGCCCGGGCCGGAGCCCAGAATCTGCGCTTCTAACAAGGTCCCTGGAGACGGGAAGAGTCAGCATCCGGCCTGAGGACCGCCCTTTGGAGACCGCGGCTTTGCGCTGACTGGGAGCTATCGGAGGGCCTAGCTCTCACAGCTCCTCGCCACCCGCACCCAGCGGACCAACGCGTCGCTGTCCTCACGCGCTTTGAGAGAAGCAG